TTGTCCAACCTGTCCAGGTCTGCCTGTAGTTGTTCCCTGCCCTCTGTTGTGTCCACTTCTCCCCACTGTTTTGTATCACCCGCAAACTTGGACAGAGTACACTTCACTTCCTCATTCAAGTCACTGATGAAGATGTTGAAGAGTATCAATCCAAGGACCAAGCCCCGTGGGACCCCACTGCCCATGTCCTTCCAGGTCAATACCGACCCGTCCACCACCGCTCTCTGGGTATGACCCTCTAGCCAATTTGCCACCCACTGGACTGTGTAATCATCCAAGTCACAGCCTCTTAACTTGTTCACCAGTATGGGGTGGGATACCATATCAAAGGCCTTCCTGAAGTCTAAGTAAACGATATACGCCTGCATCCAGGTGTTTTGTAACATCATAAAGAGACTAGATTAGTCAGGCATGATCTACCTGGTATGAACCCGTGCTGGTTTCCTCTCAGCATAATTTTCCTGCTGGGCTCTCACATATATGAGCCTTAATAATCTGTTCAAAGACTTTACCAAGGATGGAGGTGAGACCTACTGGCCTGTAGTTGCTTAGATCCTCCTTCCTCCCCTTCTTGAAAATAGGGACCACACTGGCCCTTTTCCAGTCCTCCGGGACCTGGCCCATGCATCATGAGTGCTCAAATATTCTTGCCAGTGGCTGTGCAATGACATCAGCCAGCACCTTCAGTACCCTCAGATGGAGCTCATCCGGGCCTGCCGACTTAAACGCATCCAGTGCAGAGTCGCTTGGAAGGACTCTCTTAGGGTCAATGCTTGGTGGTCTGGCGCCCTGCTGTTGTCTCTCTACCATCCCATTGTGAGACTTGATCTGAAAAAAAATTTTGTTATCCTTAAATTGGGTTGCCATCCTCAGCTCCATGGTAGCTTTTGGCCTTTCTAACAGCTTCCCTACAACTGCGTGCTGAGGAGGCATACTCCTCTTTAGCAATTTCTCCCTGTTTCCACTGCTTATATGCCCCCTTTTTGCCCTTAGGCTGCTTTGGATTTCTCTGGTTAGCCAAGGAAGCCTCTTGGCCCCTTTCCCCCTGCATCGGGATTGCCTCCCTCTGTGCCCAAAGGATCGCTTCCTTAAGGCACAGCCACCCTTCCTGGGCTCCCATCTCACCAAATCTCTTACCCTGCAGTCTGTTATTGACTAAATGCCTGAGCTTGCTGAAGTCAGCCTTCCTGAAGTCTAGCACTTCTACCCTACTAGTTACCTTTTCCACTCTATGCCTTACAGTGAATTCTGTTATTTGGTGATCACTGTCACCCAGGTGACCACTGATCTGTAGGTTCCCAACCATGTCATTCCCCGTTGCCAGTACCAGGTACAGTAAGGCATTCCCCCTAGTGGGACCATGTACCTCCTGTGTCAGGTGGAGGTCCTGCACACAGGCTAGGAACTTGTGTGAACGGTGGGAATTTGCTGTCTGCGTCTCCCAGCAGATGTCAGGGTAGTTTAGGTCCTCCATGACTACCGCTTCCCTAGTCTTACAGTCTCCGAGAGCTGCCTCAGGAGTTCCAAATCTAGTTCTTCACCTTGGTGTGGGGGTCTGTAGCAGACCCCTACCACCAAATCCCTTTCCCCTTGACCTCCATGTATCCTAACTCACAATCCTATTTTCTCTTCCTCCAATTCCATTTTGATAAGGGTAGATGTATAATGCTCCTTGACATAGAGCGCAACCCATCCCCCTCTCCTCCCTACGCTATCCTTTCTGTACAGCTTATAGCCCTCAATGTGTACTGCCCAGTCGTGGGTAGAGTCCTACCAGGTTTCTGTTAACTCCACTAAGTCATAAGTGTTTTCTGCAAGCAGGAGTGCTAGTTCATCCTGCTTGTTCCCCTGCTCTTAGCATTAGTGTATAAGCACTTGAGCCCTGTGACTGGCGCCTTTGTTGCCCTCCAGCTCTGATGCCCAATGGGCCCCTCATTGTTTACCTGCTCATTGCTTACCCGTGCTGTACTGGACATCCCATGGATTGCAGGTTCCTGATGTTCTCCTTCTTCTGCCTCCCCGCCTCCCGTCTGAGCTAGTTTAAAGCCCGACATAGGAGATCAGCCAACCTCTTGGAAAAAAGACTTTACCTTTTGCTGAGAGGTGAAGTCCACTGCGTCCCAGGAAGTCCCTTGCCAGGAAGTGTGGGTTGTGGTCCAGGAAGCCAAATCCTGCATAATGGCACCAACTCCTGAGCTGCAGGTTGACTTCTTTGATGTAGGCACTGTGATGCCTACTGCGACCTCTGACCAGGATGGATGAGAAGACCACCTGCGCCCCCATCTCCCTAAGCCTGGCCCCCAGAACCCTGTAGTCACCCATGACACGGTGTTAGCATCATACTTGTGCTGAGGAAAGTAACTGCCAGCAGTTCTCTTGAAGGTACCTATTGCCCTATCCACCTATGGATACTGGCACCTGGCTATGGGAGAAGGGCTGGGGGTGGGCGCAGGTCCCCATTTCCACCTTGGATGGTAATACAATACCCCACCTTGGGTGGGGTAATACAGTTGGTTGGCAAAGCTAGGGAAGGTAGTTTCCTCTCAGAGGGCAATAAGCAGCCAAGTTTACACTGTTGGTTTAGAAAATAATGTAAATAAATTCCGTGCCAGTTCATACAGACCCATTTCTCTCCCCCAGCTACCTAGTCCCATTCACTTTCCGGACCAAAAGTAGAGCAGGCAGACTCATCTCATGCTCCTGCCTTATGCCAAACGAAGGTTTCAGATCATTTGTGCTGGAATTCTAGAAAATCCTGGGCCCCTCTCTTGGGCTGAGGATCGGTAATGTTGTTTTTAAAAAACAGACCTCAGGTTGGCATGGTTTACCTGACTGCATCCATACCAGAGCAGGATGGGAGGGGAAACCCCTTCACTGCTGCTCTGGCAACAGTTGCTTAGAGCAGAAAGGAGGCAGGGGAGCCAAGCACCAGTAGGCACATACTGATGTTTGGAGGAGAGTTTTTCAGCCAACATGCACATGGTTGAGCGTCCCCTGGGACTGATAAGACTCCCAGAGCTGGGCCAGAGCCTTCAGGTGATTGAGGACCAACATTAAATGATTTATCACATAGTCCAGGGCTGTCCAACCTGTGCCCCATACACTTTATCTAACCTGCAAGGGTTAACATGCCATCTACAAGTTCCTGCCTGGCTCCCATTCCCCCATGGTTTGTGCTGCTGCAGCCACCAGGAATCTCTGGGCTCCCCCTCCCTCCTCTGGTTTCCACTTCCTGCCTCCACTCCTTGGGATGAGCTGCCCATGTGGCAGGGAGCGACTCTCAAGTCTGGAGCCCATGTGGTGGTTGGCTTCCAGCTGCTCAGAAGTTGAGGCCTTATGAGGAGAGGCTGAGGCATGGGACTCTTCAGCCTGGAGAAGCGAAGGCTCAGGGGTGACTTAGTGGCAGCCTGTAAGTATATAAGGGGTGTGCATCAGGAACTGGGAGAACATCTGTTCACCAGGGCACCCCAAGGGAAGACAAAGTCCAACTGTCACAAACTGCTGGAAGACCATTTTAGACTGGACATATGGAAAAACTTCTTTACCATCTGAGTCTCCAATCTGGAATAGACTCCCCCCAGAAGTGGTGCAAGCACCTACTCTGGATACCTTTAAGAAACACTTGGATGCTTATCTAGCTGGGGTGATCTGACCCCAGCTGACTTCCTGCCCCTTGGGCAGGGGGCTGAACCTGATGATTTCACAGGGTCCCTTCCAGCCCTAATGTCTATGACATCTATGAAGTAAGGCAACCCTGAGATACTTAAAACTCACTCACTTTCAAGGTTCTTCCCCATCTCCATATATGCCTGGAGAGCAGCCAGGCAAGGCAATATCTCCCCCCCTGCCCCTGCCTTCTTGTGCAAGAACCAGATTCAGTGCTAACGGAGGGCACACAAGCCGAGCACGGACCGGAAGAACAAGGAAGACATGGTAGGAAAATAAAACCCCAACAAATTTTCCAGCTCAGTGCAGCCTGGAGAAGGTAAACATGGGCCAGATTAAACTGGATTAATCAAGAGCTGGATACGAGAAATCACTCTCGCCTCTGACGGATAGAAGAGTCTCCCAAGAGAAGCAGAAAATCTGCCCTGAACGAAAGTAGGCAAAGTCCCACACCCTTGGGCCATCACAGGAGCAGCCCAAGGCCCCTGTGAATTTTTGAATTAAGTTAATTTACCTTGTACCCTGTTCTCTCTCAATGTACCAAAGGTGTTTTTACTGATGACCCCTAATTGCAACCAAGTCAGAGGGAGGAAACTGGTGACTATGGCAAGAGTATAGGGACAATGGGGCTTCCACGCTGGGATTATGGGATAAATATCTAATAAAAGCTTCCGCTCGCGTAATGATCAGGCCAAAAAGTCAAAAGGGACATTTAAATTGCAGGCTGTTGGTCTGCTGGGGGAACCCCACTGGAGTTGATGGAATTACAGCAGTAGTAATTGGTTTGTCACCTTTATCCTACTGATGAGTTCTTGGTTCAGGTTGTTTAGAAACACTAGTTCAGGACTACATTAGTCACACAAGTGACCGCAGTGTACATATTCCCCAGTCAGCTAGTCTGAAGCCAACTCTGGAATCACTAGGAAGGTCAGAGCAGACACCTCTCAGGCAGACATCACTGTTTGTCACTCTCATAAGCAAGAAACTAAGAGAAAAACAAAAAAACCCAAACACATGCTGTCCTGCGCCTGGGGGATTCCACAGCCATCTGATTAAACCTAGAAAGGGAATCAACTGGTAACAGTGTTAGAGCTGTCGAGCAGGTGCCCATGAGACCAGGCTGTCTCCACAGGCTTGAACACTACTGCAGGCTCTTCTAAGGAACAGTTCTTGTCCTTTTTGAGCCCAGTGCTTCCTACTATATATTCCCCATATTGTACAAACATCTTCATCAGGGAATGAGAATCAAGAAACAACTCCAGTGAACAGCCTCGTTTAATGCAGTTCTGCAAACCCACCCCAAACATGAGTATCTGCCATCTTGTCGTCTTCCTCCTCTCAACAGGGACAGTTTGAAAGACCACCTGGAGAGGAACCTGCATCTAACTGATGCTTTAATACATTCCCTTCCTTTCCCTCCACCCCTGTCCCCTCCCCTCCAACTTCCTGGCAGAGTCAGGACACAGAAAAATGAGTTTAAACATTTATTTAAACAGAAACTCCAAACCACTCCACCCTTTAACCTTTCAAAGACAGACAATGACAACCCAGTTCTTCAGCCAGAGTGTCAGAGCAGGTGTATTCCACTACAACAACTCAATAGTAATACTAGCAGGAGACTGACACAAATGGAGCTAGCACTGCAAGAAGGGGAGGAAAACAGTTTTGAAACTGTTCAAAGGCACTTCTGCCCACTTGCCCTTCACTTCCCTGCCCCAGACGTGGTGCTGGGTTAAAACTTGTTTTGGTTGCATAGCTGGCTGGTGAAATCTGTGGTCTGTAACAGGCACAGCTTGGCTAGCATGAATCTTCTAAGGCACATGTGACATCATGAAGCACAGGCCACCCCCTGCTGGGGACCAAACTCTCCATTAGATCCAAGGGAAATCCAGTCTGTGCTCCTAGTTTCCCAGCTGCAGAGCACTGAGAAATGAGGATAGCAGTGTGCTGCAGGGCAGCAATTCCCATCAGCTCGGTGCTTGCTAATCAGACATGGCTCAGCCTCAGGTCTTCACTCCTTCTAAAAGCCACTGCTGCAGCATAGTATGTTCCTTCATCTCCCAACATCAGAATCCTGGCTCCAATGCACAGGGAGACGGGAGGGCAGTCACATGAGCAACTAAGCAACACAGTGACCCTAGAAGTCCTGGCATGTGGGACTTCCTCAGGCCACCTCTCTCCTACCCTCCCTACAGCGATCAGGATTGAAAAGTTGGTACATAACTTCCCAGGATCCTGCACGGTAAAGGCCGATTCAGCTTTGAGATGGGTTAGGCCCCAGAGAAGGCCCAAAGAAGCAGAATGCTTTGGCATCCATCCCTGGATAGAGAGTAGCCATCAGGAAAACTTTAGCACCCAAGAACAAGGCTGCAGAAAAGGAAGAGGCTAAGGGAGGTGGTAGAATAGCCCTTGCTAAAAGATTCAAGGCAATACTAGCCACCCCAGTGACCAGGATGGTTTGGGAGATAATGAAAGCACAGCCTTCCCCTACCAATGACAGGAGAGACCCTGTGCTCCCTGGATGCCCTATCCTAAGGCAGGGGAAAGGAGTAGGTACCCCATTGAGGCCCCTCTCACCACAAAGGCTCACTCCAAAGCAATTTGCTAAACAATCTGGGAAAGGGAAACCCCAGTGGCAGACCACTGCCTCTTTTTATCTCCACATCCCCATGGAGAGCAAAACCAGGGCTGCTAGAGAAGGGGCACACTCAGAACCAAGACCACAGGGAATGCTCTTTTCTGTGTAAACAGCATTCAAGACCCATTCTGAGGGGGAACTTGCACCCAGCTTCACTGAAACACTGGAAGAAAAAGAAATACTGACTATTCCCACCCCAGCACAGAGACTGGCTATGGTGGCGGCTGAGCAGAGCAGAGCAGAGACTAAGCAGGGGCAGCTACAGGCTTGTTCTGAGAAACTTGCCGGTAAAAGGAGCTCTGGCACCCCAAACAAGCTCAACAGATGAAGCAATGAATACATGCCTCAGTCTGAGATATAGATAACTCTGTATGTGGTTATGAAGCAGCTAGTAAGAAATGGAGAACCAGAAACCCCACCTCAGACTGTTCCCTCTGCTACAGCTGGGAACAACACCTGCTTCAATTCTCTGACTGGAGGGGGAAGCACTGGTGAGTGCTAGGCTCTTAGCACAAAGCCTCTGACCCCATCTGTATAGGTCAGGGCACAGCTGCATGGCCAGAAGTTTCAACTCAAGCTAGGGACACGCTATCTGCCACCATCTCCCGCTGAGGAGATCTCCACTGGATCCAGAGTGAGATGCATCCAGTGCTCCCTCTGCCCCTCAGCAGAGATGAGCTTCTCCCACAGGCTGGGGCTCTGCCCCATGTCAAAGTGGCTGGGGGGGGGGTCTTGGAGTTCGTCACTCCTCTAAAGCCATGGAGATTAGCATTGGCATTCAGTACACAGTGGCTCTCCTTCTCTCATCTAGAGGTACAGTGATAAATGCTGGGGTCCCAAAGGCAACTCCCAGGAAGCAGTGAAACAATGAAAGGGCAACAAGCTGCTATTGGAGCCATTGCCATGATGGGGCCATCTTGCCTCAAGGGTAGGACTGACAGATGAGGTACAGAAAGGAGCTGCTGCCGCCGCCGCCTTGGATCACTGAGCTGGCTGTGGCCTGGAGCTCAGGGCCCTGCCCCTCTGAAAACTCACTCCTAGTTCATATCTAAAGGAGGTGCCTCCCCTCCGAACATACATGGGTGCTGCTCTGGAGCCTCTGGCCTCACTCCTTATCTGCGAGTGACCTGAAGCCAGGAAAGCTGCTCTCTGCATTCAGTTAGTGTGTTGTGAAGTTGGATGGACCCAGTGGGCTTGGGAGACTAGAGGCTGGAGCGGCACGAGTCCGTTCCCAGAAGACACCAGGAATCTGAATCTAAGTCGGGTTTCGGATCCACTTCCATCTCTTCCTTGGCTGTCTGTGTTCCTTTGGAATGAGCCTCCTGATGTCCAGACAAAACTCAGTCAGTAACCCCCACCACAGTTCAGCTACTGGCCACACAAGACAAATACTCTGACTATAACAGTCCCAAGCTGGGCATGCTGCCAGGAACTACCCACTCTTCCTCACCCACAGAAATCAGGTGCCCCAGAGACTCAACAGCCTGGCTTTATTATAGCTAGATTATTGGCAGAGTAGTTGCATGTCAGCTGAGACTGACAGGTACAAAATATCTTAACCCCACAGCCTTTGGCTCTGCCCCACATCCTAATGACTTCAGACTCGTTTCAGATCTCCTTCCCCTTCCCCACCTCCAGAGCCTAAATAGATCCTGGATCAGAGCTCTGTCCCCTCCTACCTACCAAGAACCACAAGGGCCCTCAGCCTGAAGCAGCAGTCTGACTGCCCGAGCCTAAGGAGTGTTCTCACCTGCTGCATTCCCTCTGTCCCCTTGCAGAACATCTGGAGCTGGGCACTAAGACGAACGGTTTCCTGCTGCAGCTTCTGCTGCTCTGTCAGACACTGCAACACCAAGTTCTGCAGCCGCTTTACTTCAGCCTGCAGGGTGCTGCACATGCAACCCGCAACCGAAGATGCTGCCTTCACTCTGTCACAGGGCAGGGCTGGTTCAGCATGGGTGGGCTACAGAAACAGAGAAAGGAGATGAGCCTGCATCTGCCTGAAGTGTATGAAACCTTAGTCCAATGCCTGCCTGTGCCACAATTAGGGACTGAAGATGGCACCACAGCTCAGGCCACGATCCTAAAGCCTCAGGCAGCAAGCCAGCAGACTTACCCTACTCATTGCCAACTCCCAATCTCAGCCTGGAACATGACCTTCTTTACTTTCCCTCTTCTCAGCTGCTGGCCTCACCTCCCAACCATTTGAAGCCCATGTTTGCCCAACCCCATTTCCCAGAAGCAGAAACTGTCATTAGCAGCGTGTTAGGAACAGGTTCTCCTGGAGGAACTCCTGTAGAACTCACTACCCTCCTCACTCTTCCCTCTCCAGCTCACATGTTCCTGCTTACCTGGTCTCTCCTCCATGGATGTCTGGACGGTCTATTATGTCCCCACAATGGATTTCATTTCCAGTCCAAGTGCCTACATTCCCTTCTCTCCCTCACTAGCGTTTTTAGTTCCCTCCAAATTTAGCACCATCTGAATTTCAACCACCTGTTACCTCTTTTATCCAATCGTTACTTAGCCTGACCACAGCTCCTTCCTTCACCTTCCCTCTAAACTCTTAAGGTTGCCACTGATGGCCCCTTGGTTCACTGTCACTCATCAAGGGAGGCATGGTCTAGAGGTGGATGTTTACCCAGCCCTCTGTCTTGGGCTTGCTGAGTTCGGTAGACACATCAGAGGCCACTTTGAGTCCCTGCAGTTCCTGGTAGGGGAACGTCTCCTTTTCTGGCTCTGAAGAAGCTGTGCTCAGAGGAAAGGGGCTGTCGGGCATAGGGATGAACTCAGCATTTTCCAGCTCCTGGACACAGAGGAAAAAACAGGGTAGTGTCAGGTTTGTCTCACTTCCCTCAGCAACCTGTACCTTTCAGCTAGCACACCAGCACCCTCTCGTGGTGGAAAAGGACTATGGCTTAAGTTCTCAACCAGGGTGCCTTGTATGACTGTCATGCAACATTAGCACTGGTAGGTGTGCAAACATCTACATATGATTCACAAGATAAATCTACATATTTCAGATAGGAACCCATAGCATCAAAATCATTCTGACTTGCTGGGTCTGAATTCTTTGCAATAGAAGACTGGCTCTATTATTTTTCCATAGTCAAAAAGTGAGTGAAAGCTAAGTAACCCAGCATTTTCTGAGGCATTCCTGAGTCTAAAAAGGTTGAAAACAACTGGCTTAAAGGTCCCTCACACAGCACACCCTATTGTTTGAAGTAACCCTATGGGAAGGCCCTCTGAACTGGACAGAAGCTTGGAACTGTGGTAGACTCCCAGACACATCATCCTTTGGGATGAATCCCTCAGCGTGTTGTGTGGGGTAGCTGGCTGGCAGATCCCATCTGCAAGAGCATTTCAGCCACCACCTCAGAACACAGAGGGCAGAGAATCTGGTGATGAGGGTGTTTCCTGTGCTATATGGTGCGACAGAACAGAGGCTGTGGAGACTTCTGAGGCTAGCCTCTCTAACCTGGACCCTTTGGGGAAGGAGCAGCAGCTTGTTCTTCTTTCAAACTTTGACCTCAAACCCTGGGATTTTAAAGAACTCTGTGAGGCAGTTTTACCTTGCGTAGCCAGCCAGGGCAAGAGCTGCTGCCAGCACTGCTCCCTCCCATAGCCTCGGTGGCACTGATCCAGCCTCCCATTCCACGATCTGCTTCCATGGTTCCTCGGAAGCCTCCGCTTGGATCAGGTGTCTCAGATTCCCGTTCATTCTCCTCCTCCTCTCCTCCACCTGTTGTGCAGCTCTGAGCCACTAGCAGACAAGAAAAAAGCAACCACTGCACACAATTCACTTTCCCTTCCAGATCAGGGAGCATAGCTGCTGCCAGACTCCTGTTCCTCAGGAGTTTCAGCTACACTAGTTTCAGTCCTCATAGTTCCATGGGATTTATCTGGGCTAGAACCTGCTTTGGCTTGCGAGAAGAGTTTTGCTGGCAGCTACACAAGCAGCATGCATCACACTCGGGTACATCATGAAACACATCATGGTGTTTCTAACAGGTGCTTCCATGCTGTGGAGAGAACCATCAGCAGGGTCTACCTAAATCACAGGGGGTGGGTCAGGGACTTATCAGTTTTCATGGGTTGATCATGTCATAAAGTTTTAATTTCATAGTGGCCCCATCCCTTGATGCTGATTGGCAGAGGGGCCTGGGGGGCAGGCTGCTACCTTGATTGATGGTTGCCCTTCCTGCAGCTCTAGTATTAATTAGTAGAGAGGCCCCAGTGGAGGAGAAGGGACAGGGGGAAGTAGCCATCTTTTCTGCTGCTCCTTGTGCCACCCCGGCAGCTGGTACCTTCCCCTCCCATCAGCGAGGACTGCTAGCTAGGCTCCCACTGGGGAGCCAGTGTTTTACCTTTATTAAGTTGTTGGGGTTTTTTTGTTGATTTCATGGACAAGCCTGGATCTTGCTGAAACCATGAAATCCATGAATTAAGAAGGTCCTGAACTATCAGCCGATTCCTCACACTAAAAGGCACAAACCAGCCCCCTCCCCAAGCAGAGAGAAAGCAGTGAGGGTGGGTTGGGAAATGACTGCATAGTGAAATCCCTTTGACAGGGCCACTGCACAAGCCTGCAACTTTCCAAAATGGTCTCAGGTTGCTGCTACCCAGCAACTCCAGCGTTCAAACAACCTATGCACCTTTCAAAGATGGCTACTCACCAGTACCGATAGACAAGCCACTGCTGTTGGATCGGATAGTTTTAGAATTCAACACCTTTTCTGTGGAGAGAAAGAACAGCCCTTAGTTTAGGGGTCTAGAGAAACTGTACAAGTTGGTACAAACCAAAATAGGGTTCCAACACCAGGGCTGACATGGGCTAACTGAAAAATTCCTCAAAAACAATCCTGACATCTCCATTGTAGCCCATGTTAGGGAAACCCTACTGAACCACCACCTCGGAACACTGCCTACCGTGTTAAGAAATATCCTATAAATCACACTCACCAACTATGATGATGGTGTGCCAGCCCCGGCAGGACAGGTCTGGGACATGATGCAGGGATCCAAAGATGGGTCGAGGCCACGAGGTACAAATATCTGAGCCGTGAGGTCTCTCCGCTGGTGTCATTGCCAGACGCCCGTTTCCACCATTACCCCAGGCAAAGATATGGTTATCTGTGGAAAAAGGGATGCAATAATCAGTCTGACCTCAGACACCTCATTTCCCCCCAGGGGGCCCTGGTATACCAAGCTCATTACAGAGACTCCCACCTCTTCTCCCATAATTACTGTCTCAAAGCAGGCATAGCAAATAGCTTACCTGCCTAAGCTTGCCAATGGAAAGCTAAATGTGTGTAGTCAAGTCCACCAGGTGAATCTCCAGTGGTACTTGGTGGCTCTAAAGATAGCAGCAGTGAAAACTTTGTACTACTCTGCTCCAGTGATACTAAATCTGAAGGATTGCCCTTTCCTGTCTTCAGTGCTGTTCCAAGTGGCAAATGATAAACCAACCACTCTCAACACTAAATATGCTGCAAGCCTCTTGACTAACCAGCAGACGCTTCTACTGGACCCTCAGAAACGCTCACTCACCATCAGTAGCAGCTATGGTGAACTCATCTCCACAGGAAACTCGGATCACCTGCTTACCCCCAAGGGGGCCTCCCAGCAAGTTAATTCCCAGATGCTTTTTGTAGTCACCGACACCAAGCTGTCCACACTTGTTGGAGCCAAAGGTCAGAAGACGGCCCCGTTCTGAGAGAAAGAACAAAGACATACTGGCAGTGAGAACCCAAGACAAGAAAGCAGCCACGTATGCACAGAACTGCCAACATCCACCTATAGCCAACATATGCTAGAGGGTGCCATTAGCCAATGTAGATTGCTTCAATCCTGGAAACTCCCCCTGCCCAATTCGTTCTCTTTGCTCCCTGCTTTTGACCAGGTGCTGTGGTTCCTCCCTGTCCTTTGGCTAACATACTCTACCAGGACAAAATCAAGGTGCCTGATCATGTTATAAAGCTGAACCTTGGCTTGCCAAGGTATTATCCTACCCCATACACAGCCAAGCTCTCTTCCATTTAGAATGACTGAACTAACCTCTGATATCACTGCTCCAGGAAATACATACCTGTTCCAGCATGAACTTCTTCTACCAGTCGTAAGGGGGACAGACCCAACCTAGGACCCTAAGTACTGAGGGGCCAGTACTCATCTCAGTCACTACCTGAGCTTCAGGTATCACTAATGCATTCAGTGTAGCTGGACTAGAAAGGTACAGAGCCAATTTACAGGGCTAGTTCAATTGCCATCTCACTAATTTTGATCACAGAACATAGACTAGCATTATGTGCACAGACAGCCCAGTCTGTGCATATAAACACAACTCCAATGGGCTCCTCTGAGTGTGGGGAAGTGGAGCTCTTCTTCAGCAGCCCATGCACTGTGAGTGGGGCTCACCATCTATGGAGGCTGTATGCGTCTTTCCTGGGGCAATGGTGCGGATCTTGTAGAAGGAGAGCTGCTTGGCCAAGGTAAGGGAAGTGGTGTAGGGCACTTCATGGTAAGTCTGAAGAAAGAGACCAGACAATCAGCTAGGCCCAGAGTCAAGCACCAGGTACGCACTCACAAGACAAGGTCTGTCCACAAAGGTGAGGGTAGACCACAACATTCTCCATTCCCCCTGCCACCCTTTACAAAATACTGGAAAACACAACCAGGCAGAAATTTCCTTTTCATCATATAAACTGCCCAAATGTAGGTAACACACTGCTTTACCACCACAGTAGTGAGACAAAAGCCATTAGCAGCAATGAGGCTGCAAAATGATTTCCTCTTACCATACTACCTGATACCTGGAGTTGTGAGCTGGAACCTTATGGATGGGTACATTCATGGCAATGGATTGCTTGCTATAATTGAGGAATCCATGCTACCTCATCTACAGAACAACCCAGGAAAAGGTACATGGGTATCAGAGGCACTTACATCATGGTTGATGATCCCTGATGTGCACTGATTCAGGCCAAGCTTGTTGAACTCATTGAGTCCACATGCCAAGACCTTGCCTGTCTGGGTGAGCAGGAAGGTCCCATCACAGCCACAGTGGACTGAAACGATGTTCAATGTCTTTGGAACATCCACCTAAATGAAAGCAGACCAGAATCAAATCCTGATACCTGCAGAGCCAAAGCCAGTGACTAAACCCCATACCTAAACCACAGGAAATACAGACTGTATTACAGCACCGGTCAATTTGGTCTAGGTGATGCCCTAGACAGCCACTACAGATGCTTTGGATAAAGGTACAAGTAACTTCACCATAGAAGGAACTGCCCACAAAGGAAGTTGCCTCCTCCTGTCAAAGTCTGGCTTATGACCTGAAGCCCATGCTTCTAAACATCTGATCTTCGTTGTATCCTATCCAGCCTTCCTAAAACCTTCTAACAGAAATCATGGTTATTTTATAAGGAAGTGATTTAGATACCCTCAAAGTTTAAGACCAACTCCCAAAGCGCATACAGTTCTAATTCTTTTGGTATCTTCTTTTCTATTTAATGTAATTCTTTGATACTTTATTGAATTTGGACTGGTGGAAGCCACATGGGAGAGGGGAGAACAAGATTCTATGTAGTATTTTTACCAAAAAGATAAGGCCCAAGACCTTTTTCTAAGTGAGGAAATAATCACAGAACACTTGAGCCATGCTCAGACTATATGCTGGTTCCTTGTTAGAACCACCAGAAGGTCCTCAGACTTCTGTAGTATTCACTACACTACATCACTTTGTGTCCTCTAACAATTGTCATGTCTCTCCATCCCTATAGTCATGATCATTAAACATATCAAGCAACATCAGTCACAGCACAGAACAATAGCACTACTTATTAATAGCTTTACTTATTAATATGTCTAAAGGGGAAATTAATAAATTTGTCCTTTCCTTGTTTTCTGTCTCTCATCAGGTTTCTAATCCATGACAGAACTTCACCTGGTCTCAGGAGGGCTTAATTTCAGTTAACCTTTGACAAATTATATCAATCTGATCTTTTTTCCCCCATTATTTTTACTGAATTAACCAAAGAATTCTAGATTAGAAAGATGCAATTTTCCTCTACAGATCTGGGGCATGGAGTTTACCAACGATCAATAGTTCCTGCAGTTGCTCTCTTATGGAACATTCTTCAGAATCAGCATTTGCCATCTCTGCAACAAGGTTAGAGCAATGGAGCTAGAAGTTGTGATGCAAAGAAGCACCCCTTTTTAGACTTTGTGGAAATAATACATCCTTTCTCAGGAAAAATGAGAGGTGCCATGACTCCTGGGATCAAGGATTAGTGAAGCAAATAAGGGAGTACGGAATTCTCCTAATTCTGGGATGCCTCAAGGGAATGAGAGCCTTTGGCAGCAAATGTTCAGAAACTGACTCATGTCGACCTGGATCAGTGCCCAAAAGGTTTTCCAGGAAGAGGGTGCTGAAGTTTTACCTTCTGAGGAGTGTAGTGATCCTCTTCCGAATCCAAACCCAAGCGCCCTATATCAACAGAGACTGTAGTAAGAAATAGTCAAACAAGGTGTTCCCAGGACTGAGGGGAATCCCTACTTCCAGGAGAATCCCCTACAGGTAAGTAGCCCTACTTCTGGGGATACGGGGCTGCCTTCCCCAGAGTACCTCCTCCAAGCAAAGGGCATTGCTCCAGTTCTCCCAGGGAACCAACCACCCCAAATGACAACTGCTCTAATCCTGGGGAAACTGCCTCATACGCAGTAACTTCCCAGAACAAACCTCAAGGGCTCAGTCCCCAGCTCTCAGTCTATAACTTGGGGGGGAAAAAAAGTCTCATGAGACATTTGGTTTTTATTGGCTCCAAGGGTACCCCAGGCACTCTCCACCTGTTTCCGGCTTCAAGCATCTGCAGCAGAGCCACCACCTGGAAAGGTTACGTTGCGTACACCCATCCAGGCCCTCTCTCTGGGATTTGTTCAAAGCTCTGAGGAAGTAGCATAGCTGCACATACCATATTCCCCACAGCCCCACGTGTACACATCTCGGTTTCTGGTTAGGACTGCCACATGATTATCACCACAAGACACTTGCTCCACAGGGTTGGTGAGAAAGAAGTCCAGCTGCAGAGGTTCCAGCACTTCAGAGCCATAAGCCTTGTCAATGCCTATGCAGCCATAATAGTCTGAGCCAAAAGCATACACCTGGCCCTCATCTGTAGGGGAAAATAACAGGGAAAGTCAGACAGAGGCTTGTACTTCTTTGCCTCTGTCTTCCTCAGCAAGGACCAGAACT